CCCAGGCCGCCCGCCTGCGGTCCCCGGCGCTTCCTCTCTTAAGGCCGCGCCGGCAGGGCGGGGGCTCCGAGCCGGGCCCCGCGACCGCGCCGCGCAACCGGCCGCTGCGAAGCGCTCGTGGCTGTCGGAGTTGAAACGGGAAAGAAACTCTTTACAACTCCATTTTGGCTTTTACATTTAATATGAAACATGAATCACTGTTTTATACTGGGTGAAGTCCAGTTATGTTTTGGGTAGATTTTCTTTTTTAGTGCAGTATTCTTGGAGAGTGTGTAAGTAACAGTGTTGAAATCTTAGGGGTTAGGATTCTTCGGTACTGAAAAGAAAGGACTTTTTCAGTTGAAAATAATAGTTTTCATGATTTAAACTGTGTTGCATCAAAATAGAGTACTAATTTGCAGTTTTGTTTAGTCTAAGTTACTACCTTGATTAGGAATCACCTAAACATCTGTCTTAGTTACCGATTGGATCCAGTTACAAGTCGGCTTCGTTAAATGGCACTATTTGCACTCAAATGGATTTGGTCAAAACCATGTTTATGGTGGAAATTTGGCATCCTTTTTACCTCAGGGTTGGTTTCACTTGTGTTTTTTTAATGGTCCTGATTTAAAATTTTTACCTCTGTTGGTGACTTGTTTGGTTCTTTTTGTGTTTAAGACAGTCTTTTGAAGTAAGTGTTTTTTGCAGGTGTGTACGTAATCAGATTATATTCATATATCTCCCTGCCACAGCTGAAGGGGAAAAAATACTTTAAAAAAATTCTTAAGATGTATGTGGTGAGAATTTTTCAACCACTTAGTGCCACACACCCAAATGTGTAATGTGTTTGTACCATTGCATGATTGTCACTTTAGACATCGCTAAATTGGTAGAGATACTGTTTTGAGCATTTGGCACAAGTGACATTGTTTGGACTGAAATTACAAGTCCAGTGTTTAATTATAAAGGATGACTTATTGAAAGATCTTTTTTGATAAATTGTGTTGAGAGTAGTTCCGTGTACTTTTTGTAGAGCACTGGTGGCTCTTGGGGACATAACAAAATATATATAAGATGGAACTTTGAGTCAAAGTCTAGTCCTAGACTTATAGCCTCTGTTGTCATAAAAATCTGTACTGGAGGAAAGAAGAGAGTAGGAATCCACGGACTTTTTCATAGATCCAGAATTTTATTTTATTATTTTTTGTGTGTGTGTGAGGAAGATCAGCCCTGAGCTAACATCCATGCCAGTCCTCCTCTTTTTGCTGAGGAAGACCGGCTCTGAGCTAACATCTATTGCCAGGCCTCCTCCTTTTTCTCCCCAAAGCCCCAGTAGATAGTTGTATGTTATAGTTGCACATCCTTCTACTTGCTGTATGTGGGATGTGGCCTCAGCATGGCCAAAGATGCGGTGCGTTGGTGCGTGTCCGGGATCGGAAGGGAGGCCGCCAGTAGTGGAGCGTCCGCACCTAACCGCTAAGTCACCGGGCCAGCCCCTGGAAGCCGCTGATTTTCTGATAGTTGCCTTTCAGCCTGTAATTTCTCTGTATTGCTTGTATTAAAAAGGAAATGTAGGGGCTGGCCCAGTGGCATAGCCGTTAAGTTCTCGTGCTCCGCTTTGGCAGCCCCTGGTTCACAAGTTCGGATTCCGGGCGCGGACCTATGCACTGCTTGTCAAGCCATGCTGTGGCAGCATCCCATATAAAGTAGAGGAAGATGGGCACGGATGTTAGCCCAGGGCCAGTATTCTTCAGCAAAAAGAGGAGGATTGGCATCGGATGTTAGCTCGGGAGTAATCTTCCTCACAAAAGAAAAAAAGAAATGTAATTTGATAAAGCAGGTCATTCGAATTGTCAAGGTAGTCTAGGTGGTAGGGATATGGATGTTCATGGTAAAATTCTTTTAACTTTGCTGTGTGTTTGAAAATTTTTATAATAAAATGTTGGAAAATTAATTTAGATAGGATTCATCTGCTTTTGATTTTTGCTTCTAAAGGGGCAATATTAATTTATAATACTCAGAAAATAAGGTTGTGTACATTTTGTTGAGAGAAGGAGGCCAAAACTTGTATAAGTATGATAAATTTTATGATATGTCAAAAATTAAGTTCTAGGGGCTGGCCCCATGGCATAGTGGTTAAGTTCAGTGTGTTCCGCTTTGGTGGCCCAGGTTCGGATCCTGGACACAGACCTACACCACTCGTCAGCCACGCTGTGGCAGTGACCCACATATAAAAACTAGAGGAAGATTGGCACAGATGTTAGCTCAGGGCTAATCTTCCTCAGCCCAAAAAAAAAAAAAAAATTCTGCACTTTTTCCCTCTCCTGGTTTCTAAATTACTTCATGGAACATTGGGCAAGTCCATTTACATCCTGTGTTTTGTTTTTTTCCTTGTAAAATGAACAGACATAATTCCTGATTTTTTTTTTTTATTTTTATAGTGCCTTTCATCTGGGAAGTTCAAGGCACTTTGTAGAACTTCTGCCACACAGGCTCTGGGTCTTGCAGCACATTTGTAAGGTATGTAAATAGATGTCTCTTCTTTCATTCCCCTTAACCCATGGAAGAGAAATGATTATCATATATTATATAGTAATGTAAGTTTTAGGGAAAGGTGGGTACATCACTATTAGTGATTCTCTTCACCAATCTTGAGATCTTTATCTTACTCCATAACTTTTCTCTTTGGTCTTATTTTCCTACCTCTCCATGAGATACTCCTCTGATTTCCTTCTATTCTAAGTGACATTTCTTAATCTTTTATTTCTTAGATTTCTAAAGATTTCTTAGATTCTTTATATCCTTAGATGAAGATATATTTCCTAACCTCTCTCTTACTTAATCTTTAAGGAGGTGGACTCACTGTATTACACACATATTTCTCTTATTTCTGGACTATTCCCATCTTATTCTTTGTTTTTCATCTTTAAGTTTCTGTTTTTTTTTTAGTAGAGTAGTTTGGTCATCTTACAGTTTATCCACAGCCTGTGCTATGGGTATATCTAATTATTAATAGAAAATGAGCCACCTAGAGAATGAGGATCAGAGGACAGTCCTCCCTCTTACCAGGGGGGTCAGCAGTGGTACTGGCTTGGGTGGGAGCAGTGTTAACAGCAGGTATAATAGCCCATTCAGGGGCTGTTGGGATATTTTAATTGATTACAAATAAGGAAAATAGAATTATCTTAATTGAGTTGATACCACGATAAATATCCGAGTTGGGTACCTTGTTTTTTTTTTGGTGAGGAAGATTAGCCCTGAGCTAACATCCGTTGCCAATCCTCTTTTTGCTGAGGAAGATTGGCCCTGGGCTAACATCCGTGCCCATCTTCCTCTACTTTATATGTGGGATGCCTGGCACAGCATGGCTTGATAAGTGGTGTGTAGGTCTGTGCCTGGGATCCGAACCTGCGAACCCCAGGCTGCTGAAGCGGAGCGCACGAACTTAACCACTACGCCACCGGGCCAGCCCCTCGGGTACCATTTTGACCACCTTTTATTGTTATCCTTGAGTCTGAGAGAACTCTGTATATGGAGAAGTGAGCTGTTAAGGGGGTGGATATTCTTATTTGGTGAGATGGTCTACCTGGCAGTGAAGGCATATGATGGAAGTGGTTTTGGTTGGCTTTGAAATCCTCCTTGGCATGTTAAGAGGAATGGCCAAGCTAGCTTGTGGTTTTGTCATTTTTCATTTATTGAACAAATAATTACTGAATAGCTACTATATGCCAGGCACTGTTCTGTGACACATCTGAAGAAAACAAAGAAGGTCCCTGCCCTCAGGGAGCTTTTTGTTTGTTTTACAATGTCTTTATTCCTAAAAATGTGAACATTTGGTTTGGAACTGAAAAGTCTTAATATTGAATCATTCCATCAACTTTTCTCAGTATCACTGACTAGAAAGTGGAAAGCACATCAGGTGCTAATAATCACAAAAACATTAATAGCCCTGCTCATGGAGTTTTAATCTAGTAGGGAAGACTGATGATAGACAAGTAAGGAATGGGCCTGCCTTTTTTAGGGAACAGCAAAAAGGCTTGAATGGCTGGAGCCTAAAGAGCAAGCAGAAGGAGTGGAAGAAATAAAGTCTTACAGGTAGGCAGGGGTCAGATCTTGTAGGAACTGGGAATTGAGAGTTTATTTAGAGAGCATCGGGAAGCCATTGAAAGGTGTTTATAACAGAGGAGTGATGTGATCTGATTTATTTATATTTTTGGCTGCTTTATGGAGGCTATAGGGAGGCAAAAACGGAAGCAGGAAGATCTGTTGGGGGGTCTTTAAGTCCAGTGCCAGATGATAGTGACTTGGAGAGGAGCTGTAACAGTGGAAGTGGTGGGATTCATGATATATTATAAAGGAG